CTTACAGACAATGAGCAGCTGTCAATGCCCATTCACGATCAATCAATGCAGCACCACAATAATGAGATCCATATACTGTGATTGAACCAATCCACGGCCATTTCCCTGGTGGTACATCTTCACCTCCAACAATCCTATCTTCAGCAGGTAAGAAAGGTTGTGATCCACATTTTTCAGAAGTAACTGTTACAAAGAAATAGCTTATTTTACTTTCATTTTCATTTATTTATTTCCAAATTGTTACAAACATCACAAACCTAGCAATATTCTGGCGGATTGTCACAAAGCAAACAAATTCACTGTGCAAAGACTCTCCAACTAGTACTAGAACAGAAACAAACAGGGTTTAATTAACATAAAACAGACAAAAAAAGCAGACGAAGCAGAGAAAAAAAGTGAAATCACCAAAAAGAAATAAATCGGTATTACAGAAGAAGGGATCTCATCCCACATCCGTGGGAATAACATAAAAACGGAGTTAAAAAAAGCATTTGTACAGGCCTTAGCATGTCTAAAAACAATTTTCTCACTTCTACGGTCAATGGACTTACTCAAGTTAGAGTAAAAATAGTGATCGACATTACAGGTTTTAGTCTGATAATGGATGGATTTATTCGGTGTACACCAAGGATAACCCAAAAAAGTCTAAATATGACTTATTTCCAGTACACCGGGACACAATCCAATACTATTTTCCACATTTTTTAGAAGTAAATGTTATAAAGAAATAACTTACTCAAGTTAAAATAGTGATCAGCATTACAGGTTTTAGTCTGATAATGGATGAATTTATTCGGTGTAAACACCAAGGATAACCCACTAAAGTCTAAATAGGACTTATTTCAAGTTGGGTCCTTCTGGTGGTGATTGAGCAGTACACCGGGACACAATCCAATACTATATTCTTTAACGTGCACATGGGCCATAATGCACAATAGACCAATGGCTTAAACGTCTCATCCAAATGACAGTGCGCTATTATTGCCCTCCAGCTGAAACACAAGTAAAGCAGCAATATGAATTGAACCAGGGACCGCCTAGAGATGTCCACGCTTCAGTGTACACACACAGTGGCTACCACCAGTTTAGCTGACTAAGCTAAGCTGCTCTCACCAATAGTCACATTGGTTGTAAGATTAAGCATAGTATACCTATGAAGAAAAATGTCAGTACAGTGCCAATAGGATTTTGGCAAAGACGACTCACAATTTCTTGAAACTTACTCAAGTTAGAGTAAAAATAGTGATCGACATAACAGGTTTTAGTCTGATAATGGAACAATTTATTCGGTGTAAACACCAAGGATAACCCACAAAAGTCTAAATAGGACTTATTTCCAGTGGGGTCCTTCTAGTGGTGATTGAGCAGTACACCGGGACACAATCCAATACTATTTTCCAAATAGTGATACTGCATTCTTTAACGTGCACATGGGCCATAATGCACAATAGACCAATGGCTTAAACGTATGCATTTTTAAAAATAAAAGCTGATAGGCCTACAAGTGCCAGGTACCAAGGAGACAGAAGCCTGTAAGGGGACCCCAGACCTAATCTTAAACTACAGTAAAGTCTACAGCTTATCTCACACAAATTAAACACAAACAGATAGTGAAAGATAAACAATAGAGTGTAAAAAAAATTAAATAATATTAATAATAATAAAAATAATAATAATAGTACAGTACAACGATATATATATAAATCTTCAAGGTATTTCAGTATTCCATAAATTCACATACAAACAACGAAAAAGTATGGTGTGTGAAACGTTGAGTGTACAATTGAGTAAATATCATCATTTAAAATTGTGAAAAAGTAAACAATTACATAGATATATACATTACTATACTATAAAATACAATACATTATATTTTTTTCACGTTTAAAAAAATCCGCTGGCGCTTAGTCACATTAAACACACCAATCCCTCTCAGCGAATTACTCTTACCATTCCAGCAGCCTTGTTCATCTGACCAATCGAGACAGTTATTTTCTCGGTCACATCGTTTTGCAGCGGCAATACAGATACCATTCGCACACTGAAAATTGTCGCTACAAGCTGTAAACAAACAATCATTGTTTTAAAATACAATTAAAGTATATTGATAATACAGTGTCATGTTTATATTTTGTTTAGCGTTATGATACAATTGGTTGAACGCGTACAGATAGCGTTTAGAGATGAACTGAGGGTTATAACAGGGAGGCCTACCAGTAGGATGAGCTCTTATTTAGTCAAATGAGTATTTTATATTTAAAAATAACAAATTGTTGTTTGGTATACAAATAAAGATTATACAGTAATTAAGATATTAAAGAAAAGTTTGTGAAATAATTCCTACATTAAAAAATACAAATTAATCAATGGCTCATTTGCTTTAGTTGTAAACTTATTTGTTTGAAAAATTTAACAATATAAAGAAAGATATGCAAACACTCTGATTTAGGAAGATTCTGCGCATTATACCCAAATACTACAAATTGGAGTTCATGCATATCATAGATCTTATAAACACAAGATAGCGTTCTCCGCGATTTACGCGTAACAAATAGAAGCATCGGTCAAGGATCAAAAGTTTCCAATTTAGCAAGCGGACGCCATTCATGCGCTATTATACCAAAGAGAAGTAATCAGTTTTGGAAGAGGGCGTCCTATCTGTTGCCATGGATCTGAGATGGTTCCTGTTCTTCTGTTCACAGGATTGATACCCAAGGTAAAAAGTCGCGCGGTGACGGTATGGTCAGAGCGGTCAAGGGTCAAAAGTTTCCAATTTAGCAAGAGGGCGCCATTCATGCCTTATTACAGAATTTGCACGCGTAAATCGCGGAGAACGCTATCTTGTGTTTATAAGATCTTTGGCTATTATACCAAAGAGAAAAGGTAATCAGTTTTGGAAGAGGGCGTCCTATCTGTTGCTATGGATCTGAGATAGTTCCCGTTCTGCTGTTCATGCAGGATCGTGCAGGATTGATACCCAAGGTAAAGTCGCGCGGTGTACAGTATGGTCAGAGCGGTCAAGGGTCAAAAGTTTCCAATTTAGCAAGAGGGCGCCATTCATGCCTTATTACAGAATTTGCACGCGTAAATCGCGGAGAACGCTATCTTGTGTTTATAAGATCTTTGATGCATATTCTATGCAAAGACTCAAAATTTGTAGATTGCACCTTAGCATTTGTGTACAATGTTTATTTATTTCCATACTTACGGCAAGACTGTAGCTCGTCACTGAAGTCAGCACAATCAATGATTCCATCACACACTTGTTCCAATAGTACAAATTCAAAATCACCACATACAAAAATTTCTATAAAAAAACAAAAACACAAAGAAACAATATACTATTAGGATATGCTTAGAATTTATCACATATCAAACAATATTCGGGCTGTGAATCAAAGATAATACAAACATTACAACCATCAACAGTCATTTATTGTTTCATAATTGTTAAGAAGTTATAAAACATACATTTTTATGTGACAACATCCATCACAATAAAAAGATGATTGCCATAATTTTGAAATCACCTCCATCAAAGAGTTTACTGCCACCAGAAATAGATACCCCTTCATCTTAGGGGAGGTTTTGTAATTTTGTAAATATAATGGAAACGCATAACACTTTACACTGCCTTTGTATATTGGGTCTATTTAGTATATCATTGCATTGTACATTGTTATAAATACCATCGATTGTTATTTTTTAGATTAAGATGTTAAAGTAAAGCACTAATAAACAATCAATTGACAAAAAATAGCATAAATTGTAAACAAAAAATGAGCTATAGGAATGGTATATTTATAAGTGGTGAGCAATTTTGTAGGTGAATGAAAGTTGTTCTGATTAGAAGTATTGAGGTTGAGAATTGTAGAAAGTGGGAGTAGAAATTAGCAGTTTTGAGTAGGTATTTGTAGCAATAACTACATGCAGAAATTAACTAGGATGGCTTGTTCAATATTTTTTTACGATCAGATGCGATGATGTATTATTTTTCGCTCGTTGAATTATGGTTCACTTAATGGTAAAGTGGGTGTTCCTGCTTTTCAGTTTCATTTCATTTATTTCATTTCATTTATCTAACCGAAAACAATTACAATATAAAAGGTTAAACAGTCAAAAAGAACAAAAAAGATACAATAAATGTTGGTCTCTAATTCCCCACAAGGGCCGACAGGATAACCAAAAAGTAAAATAAATTACTGTCAAAGTGGGTTTCCATCCGATGTGGGGAATCAGAGAACAGCAAATAACACAGACAATGTGTTCTGATATTCACTTGGACACTCTTGTCCCGCGGTGGTTGAAAAAGTGGTTGTGTGCAGCGTACTGTAACTGTAGTTGACAGTTTTTCCATTAGACCTATATAATGCTTGGTGTCATTTTGTGTAGTGATGTCGGTTTGTAGATAAAGTTCTGTATGAGGCAATTTCCATTTAATAATAATGGCCACTTATTTTTCTGTCTGCATTTGCAGTCCACACAAAAAATTACCATTATGTTTTATTTTACTTTGACAATGACAATACAGTTCACTACTATTGAATCAAACTTACCACTTAAATCAACTGCTTTCACAGTTGCATTGAAGCCTCTGTAAGTTACACTTCCATCTGTATCCATTACTACCAACAATTGGTTGCTCTCAGACAATACAGAGTGGAAGTTTGCTCCCGTAAAACTGATAGTACCTGTCTCTTATACACATCTAGATGTGTATAAGAGACAGGTT